CCGAGAGGCCTGCGGATTTTTCAAAACCTGTCCTGCCGAAATCAAGTTCTCGGATCTGGATCCGGATCTGGCGTCATGCATATTTTCCGGCTCGGTGCTTTAGCGGAGCTTGCACGTGGTCACAGCCATGGGCACGTGGCCCTGCCAGGGTACCTGCCCGCCAACAGTGATCTGCCCTGGCTTCCGCTTTCTCGATAGGATAGGAGCCTCCAACGCAGCCCACGCAGAAGCCAAGCTCTAAGCGCTGAAACATGAAGGCCACCGCGGGCCCCGACATCCTAACAAAACTCGAACCAAGAATGTCGAACAACACTGTCCGAAGCAATCCCTTCGGGAGAGGGTTGGCCTCCTCCTTCCAGCCTCCTGTTTTGAGAGACGCAACTGGCTATCACAGCACCACACCCGCTTGGACCCCTAATCGGAAAACACGCACATGCACACGCACTCGCACACGTACCAAGGAGGCACGCGGCCCTGCGGTGATGGCGGCCTCGGCGACGCACAACGGCAGCAGTACAACGGTACGGCGGCATACCGGACGCCGGACGACGGTGGGCAGTCAGGCATCGAGCTGCTCCCAGCCCAGGCGGTCACGGTGTCTTCTTGGGCGGTGGCCTGGCACCACGGGGTTGGTTTTAAAGGTGGTCGCGACGGTTGGGGTGCTTTGGTGTTGTGTCGTTGTGGAGGGGGTTAATATATGCAAGGGGCCGGAAAGATGAGGGAGCGTGTTCGAGAGTGTCTCGGTACAACATGTGAATCGAAACCACGGGGAACCTTGAAAATAAGCTACAGCACATGTGTAAGAAACAAACACGCTGGTGGTTCCGTTCACTCCGCATCCGCCGCTCACGCACACTCATGCACGCTTAGCTCTGGGCCCGCCTCCTCGGGGCTCGTATGAGCTCTTCTTGCACCTCTTGCAGGTTACGCAGTACAGTGCGACCCAGCCATTGGACAGTGTAACGCGCAAACACACACATATGTTAGGGGGGAAAAGCCTCGCAACCCCACAACGTCGCAACCCCACAACGTCGCAACCCCACAACGTCGCAACCCCACAACGTCGCAACCCCACAACGTCGCAACCCCACAACGTCGCAACCCCACAACCTCGCAACCCCACAACGTCGCAAGCCCGAGCAATGCGGAGCTCTTCATGGTTCCAAACCTCACCCACCTGGGCGCCGACCTCCACCTGCACAAACACGGACAGCTCTCGTGGCGGCCCCGAGGTGACCCGTGGGTCACTGCAATCCAGCGCCAGGTGCGACACGTCCACAGTCGCAGTTGCAACCTGCCGAGGCTCTTCACCTCGGGGGCTGTAGCTTACAACCCATTCGACACCGTCCGCGCCGTCATCGGCAGGACAGCCCGATGCTGTCGGCGATGTTGACACGCCAGCCGGGTAAGGGGATCTTATGCCCATGCGCAGGGTGGGACGGCCACTGCCATCGCCACCGCCAGCAACATTGCCCATGGAAGTGAGTGCGGTGGCGGTGGCCGAGGCAAAAACGTGCCCTCCTGACAAACGCACCGCGATATCCAGGGTCGTGCCACAATTGCTACTGCTACTGTTGCTACTGCTGCTGCTGCGGCTGCTGCTGTTGCCGGTGATTGCTGGTGCGCCTAGAAGCAGCATCTTGACGACGCCTACGGCCTTGTTCGAGGCAGTGCGCAGAGGAAAGGACAT